GACACATTCCGAAGACACATTCGCCGACGACACCTTGAACCCTGACGACACATTCCGAAGACACATTCGCCAACAACACATTGATGAACCCTGACGACACAGAGACACTGACGACACATTCCGAAGACACATTCGCCAACGACACATCGAACCCTGACGACACAGAGACACTGACGACACATTGCGCAGACAGATTTCCTGGACAGATTTATTCTTAAATGGCGTATGTTCAGGACCAGCATGATTCAAAGGCTTCCAACAACGAGATTCCAAGATTCTCTGGAAAGCAGGGGGGTCCTTGCAACTCTCTTTATTTCAGCAAAGCCGTGGCAAGTTGGACAATGTTTTGGGTCCGCGCGTGCGCGCGCACGCCGGAAGTTGAATATTGTATAGAGCTGATTGCGGCGCGCGCGCGCGAACCCATGTCTGATGGCTTCCGCGCTCAGTCTGTTTCCTCCCTGTCCAGCTTTTTTCCGTTTCAAGTCTTTCTTCCGTTTCTGGCTGTTCCTTCCATGTCCGGCCCTTTTTCCTACGGATTTTTTCCGTTCTGTTTCCTCCGTATCCGGCTTTTTTCCGTTTCAAGTCTTATCCGTTTCTGGTCTGTTGTTTTCATATCCGGTATTTTTCCGCTTCTTTTGTTTCGGGCTGTTGCTTCCATGTCCGGCTTTTTTCCCGTTGGAAGTCTTTACCGTTTCACCGAACGTGTCTTCGTCTTCGCTAGGGAAGTCGTCTGCGCTGGGGAATTCGTCTGCGTGGGACGCGTCTTCGTCTTCGTCTTCGCGTCTGCGTGGGACGCGTCTTCGTCTTCGTCTTCGCGAGGGAATTCAATTCGTCTGCGCTGGGGAACTCGTCTGCGGGTGATGCGCTTCGTCTTCGTCTTCGCGAGGGAATTCGTCTGCGCTGGGGCATTCGTCTGCGGGCGATGCGTCTTCGTCTGCGTCTTTGCCCAGGAATCTTCGGTTCAGTGCATATCCATCTCAGGAAAGTGTCTGCGCAGTTCGTCTTCGTCTGCGGGTGCAATTTTTCACCCCCCCACGCGACCACAATGTTTATATATATAGTTGGCGGAAACTCGGAAATTAGCAATTTCCGAATTTCAGAAAGATGTACTTTTTTACATAGTTTGGCGGACATTCGGAAATTAACAATTTCTGAATTTCTGAAAAATTTACTTTTATGCATAGTTTGGCGGAAATTCGGAAATTAACATTTTCTGAATATCTGAAAAATTTTACTTTTATGTATAGTTTGGCGGCAATTCGGAAATTAACAATTTCTGCATTTCTGAAATTCTTCAACTTGGTGTCTCTTAAACTTGGTGTTTCTGACGGCCGGGAGTTCTGACGTGTGATTGTTGGGGTCTACAGAGAACTAGGGTTTGTAGGGTCTTGGATTCGCCAAAACTAATTGCGTGATGGGCTGCTTCAAACATGATTTGGAAATGCACAGTTGCACAGCTGAATGTTCCCCAGATGTTCCCAGGTCCCAGTGTAGTTTCAACCATGTCATGGGCACCCTTCATTGTCAAGAATGTCCAACTCTGTTTCACATGTCCACCTAGCCAGGCCAAGGCGCAACCAACTGCTCCACTGGCACACACCCACACTAACCCTGTCTCACTCTCTCACGCCCTCGCTTTCTCTCTCTCACTATCTATTTCTATCTTTTTATGGCCTCCACCTCTCTCAACCCCATCCTCAAACCAACCTGAAGTCTCCATGCCCCTCTCATGACAACAACAAGTAAGGCAAACAATAAGAGACAGCCCTAAATGTTGTGAGACGTGTTGTGAGTCATATGTTGTATTTTTAAAGACAAGCTTCAGGCCCCCCCTTCCAGTGCAGATCAGGTTCTTGACAGCAAGGAAAGGGCTTAGGCCTGTGCTCAGGAAGTACAGCTGCTCCAAGTCTTTTCCTGATAGGCCAGCGAGCTGGCTGCCTGAGCAATTGCAGACTGTTGTCTTTGGGTTTATGTTATTATATTATGGCGGATGATTGGATGGTTATGTCACGCAATGATGGGTGGCCCCTTAATTTTCAACTATGTCACGCAATGATGGGTGGCCCCGTATTTTCAATTCAAAGATTGAACACAGTGATTCACTCTGCCACTGTTAGGCATGAATGTGCTGACTGCAGGAGCTAGGTGCAAAGAGGTCTGGATCACAATGCATCAGGTGGCGCACCTTCTCAGATATGTTCAGACAGTTTTTCCTTGGCTTTTGATTGTGCAATCAGATCATCAGTTCACTTCATGTCACCTGGACTCACTTGGACAAAACACTTCACAGGTGGTTTTACATACACCACACACACACACAAACTGGACCCGCCCAACATCCTGCTGCCCAATCCAAGCAATCCAAGTGGCGAGGTTTGCACTTCATGCCTTTCTCTGTGAAATAAGGGCCTATGTGTCTCCAATGCCTTGGTTTCGAGTGGAGCCCTGAATGGAGACTTTGCCAGTCCAAATTTGTGCGGCTGATTTGGCTCAATGGTACATGATTGGCACATGATCTCACTCAGGCTTTATGACTGAAATCCCTGAGACAGGATCAATCAATAGAGGTCACTCAATAAACTTACAAAGTTCATTCAATGTTTTGCAACGTCAAGGCGCCCTGGCAGGAAATCTGAATCAGAATCTGTCCCATCACCCTTTTGTTTTTTTCTCTCTCTCTCTCTCTCTCTTTCTCTTGCCCTTGTTCTTCTCTTTCTTTCTCTTCTCTTTTGATGACCTTGACTTCTTCCTGCTTTCATTCCCGGGTGGAAGATGTGATGGTTTGAGGGTGAATTGAAAAGTGAGAGCATCCTTAGACTTGACATTGCTTGCCATGAAGGGAGGATTCAGTAGAGTCTACTGTTGAGTTGGGTTGGAATGGTTTTGGCGCCAAATACAACCCAAGACCACTCCAAAACAATAACAATGCTCCAAGGCTCTCATTGTCAGATTCCTGGCTGTCATCATAAGAGCACTCTTCACCAGAGTCTTCCTCATAGAGTACCTTTTCTTGGGTACCAATGCCCTCTCCCTTGGCCTCAGTTCAGCATAGTCCTTCATGTAGTATGGAAGGCCTCGCTTCCCAGGCTTTCCTCTCACTCTCCTCTTTGGCATGGCTACACTGAGGAGGATGATAAGCTTGCCAAGCTCTATTGATTGACCTCTATTGATTGATCCTGTCTCAGGGATTTCGATCCTAAACCCAGACCTTATTTAATGAGACCATGTCCCAGTTGGCCCCTTCATTGAGCCAGATCAGCCACACAAATTGGGTCTGGGAAAGTCTCCATTCAAGACTCATTCCTGAATCATCCTTGGATTTTCACATCATGTCCCTTTTGTCAGCTCAGTGTGAAGAACCAAGGATTTTCAAGAATGATTTTGGATGTACCAGAGCTGAAGCAAACCCAATTTGAAGCAACCCGACTCGCTATTGCAAGAGCATGATGAAGACCCAGGCCAAAGCGGTGCTGGCAGAGCTGAAGAAGCCAGCCCTGCTTGTTTTTTGTGATGCTTGCTGTGTGATCAATTGCCAGGGGGATGCCAGCAACCCTGATGTTGTTTTCTATTTTGAGGCTATGAGTGGGCGCGCGGTATTTGTATGTTTCTGCTTGCTTCGTGGCGACCCCGCCTTTATGCAAATGGCGCTTCTGATGACCTGTGGCTCCATAGATCCATGATGCTCAATGAGTTCCAGAGTTGGTTGGCCTGTGTATGAACTTTGTGAGTAAAACCTGCTTTGGTGTTTATGCAGCAGGCTTGCCACTTTAGCGCTTTGAGGGGGCTGCGCTAAGGATAGGGAAAGTCTCAAAGTTATGACACCGGTATGCTGCGTGCGGCAATCACTTGCTCAAGAAGGAGCTGGGTTTTGGAGACTCCGTCACACGGCTTCAGATTCCTATCTGGAAAACTTTTGCAAAGGAGGTGACGTTGGCAAGTTGCTACTTCCAACAAACTTTGTCTCGCGTTCAAATTTTGTTGCATTCTGCTGCTGCTCAATGCAAACTTGTCTGCAGGTTGAAGTGATGACATGTCATGGTGTCTCTGAAATGCTGGAAACCCAAATGGATAAAAAAACAACAACTGCGCCCCAAGTGAAGATTGCGTTGTCTGTGGTTCCTTTTGGAGATGAATGCCAATGCCGTGACAGCAGTTCCATGACCTTGACTTGGATGTCCATGCGCAACAAAAAAGCATGCAGATTCACTAACCATGATCCCAACAGAAAATTACAGTATGTCCTTGAAGATGTTGCTCCTGTCCAGGGCCTTGCACCTGCACAAATCTGGACATCCATGGAGACAAATGGCATCTCTGACTACCCTGTGCCTGAAGCCTCTCCTTGATCACATCAACTGGCACAAACACAAGGCAAGCGGCGGCCTTTCGAGTAAGCTGGGCAACGGCGCCAAAGAAAAACAAACGACGGACTGCAAGTGATATCGGATAAAAAACGATGCAACACTTGAACACATGCAGTACTAGTGTCCATCTGGCAACTGTTCTTTGATATATTTGAGACTTGCAGCGTGCAAGCGTGGATAGCTGTACAATCTACTCAAGGTTTGTGCATCGAGCACTCGCAATGATACCGTCACTGTTGAAACTTTGGCGAACTACCGCCAAATCCGTGACGAACCACATCTGAAACTTCGCACCAGTGTAGCATGTATATAATAACGGTCAATAACGCATGCTGCTATCGCGTCGCCGAGTTGGCTTGTGTTCAGACTGCTGACCACAACAAAGGGCAATCAATGGCACACGGCCATCAACATACTAAAATTCTCAGTCGCAATTCATCTTGGGATGCGCTGCGTCTTCCGCCAAGTTGTATCCACAAGGCATTGAGATGAGCTAGCAGCTAGTCATCAAGCACAGGGCCATGGTCACAGAATGCAGGCGCCGCGGCTGTCAAGTTTGTCATGCGTGACCCAGCTCCTGTCGTGGCTGTGACTCCAACTCTCTCGGAGTGGAGGTCAAGCCAAACTTCACCTAAGCAAAAACCAGTGACATCATTGACATCTGCGGTCTTGCTGAAAACCGCTATCAAAGCACAACGTATTTTACCTACCCTTGCAGTTTTTTCCCTTTGCTTGGGAAAGTGCAAATCTTGCGCGTCCTTTCCAAGTCTGAAGTTCCCGACAAGATTCCACGTGTTTCCACTAACATAATGCCATAAACGCCAAGAAACGAATAGCATCTCGGACCACATCGTCGAAATGCAAGTGGGCCATGGAAATTTGGTGATCCACTTGGCAAGCCTCAGCTAACTACACTCAAGGGTAGTTTGGGAAAGAAACCGGTAGCACAATGGATGCTTCTGTCAGCCTACAGCCAACTTTTGTCCATGCTTCCAAGGTTCTCGCTTCATCATCATGTCTATTGCCTCCTGAGTTTTGGAGTATTTAAGTTCGACGTACTGACACGAAAACGGTGGTGATAGTTGGAGTGAAAAACACATTTGCGCGACAAGCAGGACAGTTCATGCGTACTTAACGGTTTAACGCATCCCAATGCGTATGAGGGTCGCATGATCCATCCTCAGTGTTCTCTCTACTTGTGGCTGCTGGGGAAGGCCTCAGTGTATTGAACTTGACAGGCTCAGCATATTGCCCTTTGTCGCACCGGTGCTGACGGGCTTGGCAGTGGCCACAGGATGCCACAGGTCGGGCAGAAGGATTCTCAAGTTCAAGGTTGCAAAGGTGCAGCCTGTGAAATGCTCAGCCTAAATCAGTTCACCTACTGTAGGCAACTTTTGTGGGATCTTGAAGGCTCTGCGGCCCCACTCTGTCCAACAGAGTGGGGCGCAGTGGAAACAGCGAAGGCTAAACCAAACTTGCAAAAAAAACCTGGGATCCCCTGGGCATGAACGGGGCAGCGTCATTGACACATTCTGGCACAAAGCTGTCGCGCCGACAGTTTTATCAGCGTTGTTGGGGTACGACCCGACGTGCTAACTTACCCCATCGCACATGAACTTGACCCACCCCCATGGCACACCGCTTACCCCACGAATGTAAGAACTTACCCCATTTGGAAAACACAATGGCACACCGCTTCGAAACAAGCACTTTTTCTCCTAGATTCTTTCTAAACCTACACGATTCCACTGCGATTCAATCTTCTACATGTTGATGTTTTCTAAGGTTCTCTGTGGGTTGCCGTGATCCAATCCCCATGGCACACCGATTCTGACCCACATGTTGGTACCAGCTTTCAGTTTCTACATAGAGTGCAAACAGCATGGAACGTCAAACATATATCTATTCATTCTTGCGTGTTTTCCTCTCCCAATCCCCATGGCACACCGCTTCGGAACAAGCACTTGTTCTCCTAGCCTAGATTGTTTCTAAACCTACACCATTCCATTGCGATTCAATCTTCTACATGTTGGTGGGTTCTAAGGTTTCCTATGGGCTGCCGGCTGCCATGGTCCAACCCCCATGGCACACCTCTGACCCACATGTTGGCGCCACCTTTAAGTTCCTACCTCGAGGGTAACCACCCAGACGCGAAAGTCCTTGCAAAGCAGTTGCGGCAAGCAAATCACACTGTGACACCACACCACGACTAAGTCACGACAGAGTCCTTGCAGCACTTAGTTTCCGCATGGGACACCGCGTCACCAAACAGGCCATCTAAGCCAAAACCATGCTTCCCAAGCCCAGTTTACAACACTGCCACAATGATCGGGTTTGTGCAACAACAGCCAGCAGCAAATGAGTAGGCTTTGTAGCGCAGGCAGCGGCAGCGGCAGCAGCAAGCAGCAGCAAGCAGCCAACCAGCAGCAAAACAACACCAACAACCCAACAGCAGCAGCAAGCCGGCAGCAGCAAACCAGCAGCAGCCAAACAGCAGGCAGCACGAAGCCAGCAGCAGCTAACCAGCAGTAGCTAACCAGCAGTAGTAGCTAACCAGCGAGAGCAAACCAGCAGCAACTGGCCGCAGCCAACCACCAGCAGCAAAACAGCACAGCGCAGCAGCAGCAGAAGCAGCAGCAGCACCCAACCAGCTGCAGACTCTGAGGTGTGCGTATATAGGCAGAAGCCAGCCGCAGCGGAGGGTTTCCCGTCGACACCGTCTATTTCTACCCACAACAGCGGTCAAAACGGGGTGGCGCAGCCAGCCAAAATGCCTAACGTCGCCTGGCTGGTCGCCTGCCCATAGAACAGTTGCCGGCGCGTTCCAAAGGCTGACTCCCAAGGCTGCAGTCCAGAGGCAGCCGAGGTGAGGCCCACAGAGCAATGCTGCTGCTCTGCAGACTCTGAGGTGTGCGTATAGGCAGAAGCCAGCCGCAGCGGAGGGTTTCCGGGCGGGCAAACGACACCATCTATTTCTGCCCACAACAGCGGTCAAAACGCGGGGGGGTGGCAGCCAGCCAAAATGCCTAACGTCGCCTGGCACGTCGCCTGGCCCTCGCGAAGAGAGCAGAGCCGGGCTACAGCGCTTTCTTCGAGCCTGGCAATGGGAACAGCCTGTATAGACCCAACCTTCACCTCCGCAAAACGCAACGACAAGCTGCGCCGGGTGATCCATGCTAGTATCCACAACTCAGCAAATGATTCACGAAACCTAACGTGCTAGCTGAGTTCTTTTTGTTCTAGCAATTCTGTATTGGGATAAGCTTGGTGCCTTGATCTTGATCTTTCATGCTTAGGGGGGGGGCCTGGCCCTGGGTGCTGGCGCGGGTGCTGGTGCTGGGTCGGCGTTTTGCTTGGGGGATCGGCATTTTCTTGGGGTGTGGGGGGTGTTGGTGTTGGATTGGCGTTTTCTTGGCGGGTGCTGTTGATGATGCTGCTGCTGCTGCTGGATCGGCATTTTGTGTCGGCGTGCTGGTGCCGGCGCCAGGGATGACATCATGCCAGGGCCGCCAGGGCCGATGTCCGCTCATATTGCACCTGACAAAATGATGCTTGTGTTGCCTTGTGGTATGCATCGTTTCTTGTCGTGGATGACATGGTGTCATGCCAGGGGTGACATCATGTCATGTCAAGGATCGCTCATTAACAACGAAATTGGGATCGTTTCCTAAGGCACTATCTGCTTTTCTCCAAACGCCCGCTATCTCAGGTGGGGCCTATGCCGGTGTAATTTGTATTTGGGATTGCTTTTGAATTTTAGATAAGCCGATACTGATAGTGATGAACAAAGCCGACTAGATAAGATGAATATGATGAACCTTCGCTGTTGACGCATGCGGTCTTGTTCTACCATTGAACAACACATTGCATTTTACTAGTGAACTGGTGAAGTCTCAGAAAAGAAACGCTGAAAGCCAAGTTCAGTGAAAAGACCTATGCGCCAATATTTTGAGTTGAGGATGAAATGTTTAAACAGTTTGTCTTCCGTGCCCCAGCTGCGCCACATTGGTAGCCCAAGATAGATGGCCAACAGTTTCCCAGTGCATATGCCCATTGCATCTGTCGAGGTGCGCGCAAACACTGAGAGTCTACACGTCCTGATTTCAATTTCGTTGATGTAAGATTTGATCTTACATGTCATCGTCGTTAGTGCCTTCAGAAACTTGGGTTTGATCCGTCATGCCTTCGACCTTGCCTACCATTGCTCTTATAGACTAGCTCCGTCTGTGCAACCCGCCCAAATTTGTACGAAAAACTAGGGTTATGCAGTGCAAAATCGTGTGATTTATTTATATAAAACCATTCTATATTCCATATAATTCCTCGCGTTTCCTGCTTTACTGCTGCTTGGCTGCTGTTGCTGCCCCTGCTGCCTGCTGCCGCTGCTGAGCACTACCTTTCGTCCACCTCCATCGCCTCAAGTAAAGTTGACTTTAATTACTGTCGACGGTAAGTTGACGCAAGGATAGAAATCTCACCCCAACGTCGACCTACTGGGTGCTCGGGTTAACTTGTCTCGAATGGCATGAACTTGTGCCAGATGAGGTGTGCCCTTGGGGGAAAGCTTGATTGGGCTAAGTTTTTGTATGTGTTGTTGTTGATCACAGGTTGAGAATTCGACCAAACCGCAAGGGCACACTGTTGATTCTGTCTCAAGTTTATTGTACTCCCAAGTGCGCCGTTGCGATTTCATCTTTTTGGCTTCACTACATTGTGATTAGTATTTTTCAACAATCGTTGCGAAACGGTGTCCCCAAGCAGTTTTGTGTCTAGGAGTGTAGACGATCATTGTTTGGTCATTTCATACTGTGTATTTGTTCTTTTTGGTGACTAGTGCTTGGAATACAACCAGCCTCAAGTTGCGCTTCCCAACCAATGTTGGGACAGAAAGGGGGCAGGCCTCATTTGCCTCGTGCATTTGTTTCTACATACTGGGTGCCTGTGTTTACCCCTATCGTGATCAAGATCTTGTATGGAAGCCGGTGTGCCATTGCGGGGAGCAATCAAAGCAGTGCAAACTAGAAGAGATGAGCTCCATCTTATTGATGCCAGATCTGCGTGGCACACTGGCTTTTTCGCGTTCACACTGCAATGTGAAACCAGTATACCATTGGGGTGAGCTATCGAATAGCTATGAAATTGAACTTGTTTCTAGAGGTTTCTTTTGTCAACCCATAGTTGAAGCCTTTTCGAGAAGGCCCCATCTCCATCAAAGCGGATGAGCGAGGAGCAGTCTGATTAGTGTTTTTGAGAAGTCGTTGCGAAGCGTGTCCCCACACAGTTGCGTGTCTAGGGGTGGAGGCATTTGTTGTTTGGTAATCTATGGTAATCAATATATGTCGGGCTTGCTGCTGGTTTTCTGCTGCTGCTGCCGCCTTGCTGCTGCTGGTTGGCTACTGCTGCTGCTGGCGGTTGGCTGCTGTTGGTTTGCTGCTGGTTGCTGCTGCTGCTGCTGGCTGATTGCTGCCGGTGCTGCTGCTTGCTGCTTGGTTGTTGCTGGTGCTGCTGCTTGCTGCTTGCTGCTGCTTGTCGCTGCCGCTGCTCCTACTCATTTGCTGCCTGTCATTGTTTTGCACGCCCTATGATTATAGCAGGTTTCTTCCATTGCAGACTGGGTATTGGAAGCATGATTTCAAGCTTGGTGGCAGGCCTGTTTGGTGAAACGCGGTGCCTCCATGCGGAAACAAGTATCGCACCCAGTATATGACTGGTTGCCACAGCTGCGTTGCGTTGCAAGGACTTCTGTGTTTGGGTGTTAGTGGGCATGGGTCTTCTGGGCAAACGTGTTCATCTCGCCCAATACCTCGCCCACATCTCGCCCTCTATCTCGCCCAACCCGCCAGGCACCAGGACCAACACATATGTGTAAGCAAAGGCCTCTTCAATTTACATGGGCCCTCCAGGCAAGGAGCGATTTGCAGGGTTCATGTCTTCAAGCGTTCATGTTCACATTTTTCGCAGGTGTGCCATGCGGAAGGAACGCGCGCGCACAGACACCAAAGAAGGCAAAACGCAAGCTAACCATGGGTTTTGTCGTGGTCTTAGCATACTTCTGGCAGAGATCGGAAGCGGGTGTGCACACCGTTTTCACCAATCCCACATCACAGATGCTTTGGTTTCTAGCCTCAGCTGCAGCAGCAGGATTGGTCTGTGGGCTTCACCTCGGCTGCCTCTGGACTGCAGCCAACTGTTCTATGGGCTCCCAAAGGCGACGTGCCAGGCGACGAGCCAGGCGACGTTAGGCATTTTGGCTTTCTGCGCCCCCCCCTGTTTTGACCCCTGTTGTTTCAAGAAATTGATGGTGTCGTTTGCCCGCCCGGAAACCCTGCACCCCCCGTTTTTGACCGCTGTTTTGGGCAGAAATAGATGGTGTCGTTTGCCCGCCCGGAAACCCTCCGCTGCGGCTGGCTTCTGCCTATACGCACACCTCAGAGTCTGCAAAGCAGCAGGTGGGCTTCACCTCGGAACGTGCCAGGCAACTGTTCTACGGGCTCCCGAAGGCGACGTGCCAGGCGACGTTAGGCGCCCGGAACATTGTGTTCTCGCTCTCAAAACAAGTCGGGATTGGGTTGCTGATGGGTTTCGAAACTGCTTTGAACTGCACGCCCATTGTACCTGGCGGACTGAAGCTGCCAGATGTCATTACCAACCACTGTTGGAGCAAAACCATCTCCCGAGATGCTAAATCCCATCTGCAAAGTAGCTGTGGAGAGGATCAATGATGATTTTTGCCAAGCTCAACACTGCCCGCGTCGTAGGACAGCAAAGCACGCTTTTGAGATGCAGGATGTAGCCAAACTGGCGTTCCAGTTCGGCAGGTTATGACTGTTCTTCGAGAAACGTTTGATGATTTTGATATACTGTATAGTGCTCAACTCCGCTGTGTTGCGCAAATGGAAGTCGGAGAACTTGGAAGACGCAATGGTAGCAAAGTGACTATCCGCTTTTTCTATTCCTGATTGCGATACGCGGGTATCCGATACACACGGTTTCCGTCGCAAGTTCAAAGCCGCGGCAGGTTTGGTCTTGTCTTCCCTTCCGAGGAAACTAACGCCACGTGCGCGGCAGTGTTGGCACCCATGATCATCTGAACGATTCACTTCCCAACTGCTACAAACAATGAAGCAAGCTTGGCGCGGCCACTTGCGTAGGCATGATGTGAAAGAAGCAAATTGGCAAGAAGGCGCAGGTACTTCTCGGGCGGTCGAGGACCATTTGCCTGTCTTGTGGTCCCAGTTGTCCGCATTCGCACCACGCGCGCGGCGCCGCGGAAAGAGTCGCAGGAGAATTGTTGGATGCTGGATTTGCAAAAGGACGTCTCAACTCAACTGCAGGCCACCAAACCAAAGGTTGCTGCCGAAGCTGACTTAGAAGCACTACCAAATGGGGCCCGTGGGCATGAAAGGGACAGCGTCATTCACATGCTGGAGCCAGGCATGCATGATCATGCCACTACCTCCTGCCAATACTGCCAAACCTGCAACAAGTCCTGCGCTGGCCAAAACTAGTAACTAGTCAGGATAAAAAAATCCACAAACAAACCATGGTGGCGCAAAAATGATTCCAACTGCCCCGAACACGAGAAAACAGGATCCCGAATGTAGAGCTTTCGAAGCCTTCAAAAAACTTGTGCCGAGGCACAGGGAAGCTCGCAGGTTGCTAGCTTCCACTCGCTCGAAATCCTCGATGTCGTGGCCATCAATCTTGCGGAGTTGAGGAAGCCACCGAAGGATACTTACCTTCAGGAACTCTCCAGCAGCAAAAAGCTCCAAACAAGTCAGAAAATACAACACCAAAATAGCAATACGTTATTACTTAGTTGTTGCATTCTTGACGCTTAAGGGGGACCAGGTGAGGGACAGGATGACACTCCCTTGCACGCTGGGCTCCCAGTATTCAATCTTAGATCTGCTTGTCCAAGAGACCCTGAAACTTGCCCTTCCACTGCAAAGTGGGTTGTCCTGCACACATGACATCAATGAGAAGGACCTTGAGGAAACCTTTGCGTTCACTGACACGTTGCTGTCCTTGATGGCCACATTTCTCAAGCGTGTCAGTTTTCTGAAAGGCTCTAGCTCTTTGGGACTTTGAATCCTCACAAAATCAGCAACTCCATATCCATTTCGTGTCTCACTCATACTCTACTGCTGAAATTGTTAAATGTACCATGTTGCGCCCCAGTAAGGACAGCAAAGTTTTTTCCAGGAGTCTCCGGCTTTCGGGTGGGAGAAACTTCCTTGAAGAACCCTCGGCCAGCCGTGAATTCAATTGTAATGCTGTTTCCCATCCAAGCGACTGATTGTGTACAAAGGTAATGCTGTTCAAATCTTTGAACTTGGTCAAACGAACCATCTCATTGGCCAAAGCCCCCACAAGGATGTAGTGAAAATGAATGTTGGTCACCGTGCTTTGGTATTCCTTAGTCCAGCAGTCTTGCCGAGGAGGCGTGCGACACGCGTGGAACAAAGGCACGCGCTCGAAATACTCTGTCGCAAAGGCGTACCTTCCACTGAAACATGTCGTTGTGGAGCATTGGAGGTTTAAATTTCCTGAAACGGACTGACTTCATGCACGCAGGCTAGGTCCAACCTGCGCTCTCAAAGGTTACCTGCGTGACCATGTCACTTGCAACTGCGCACACTTTGACATTGGTTTTCAGTTAGCTCAATTCCCAGGTCGAAAATGGTGAGGGAACGGCAAGGCGAAAAGGTCGGCGAGAACTGTATGGTTGAACAATGTTTGCAATCTGACACACAAGCGCGGCAAGTCAGCGGTGGGAAAAAAAAGGTTTGGGGGACGTAGCGTGAACCACCATGGAATCAAAAAAGAAGGATTGGAACAGCGTACTCAACCGTTGAAGCAGGTACAGGTGGATGATCAGTCCACCCCTCCCTCGTCATACCGTAGCGTCATTGCGTACGGTGGGTATGACGAGCCGTACGCCCTGCTTTGAAAACATGGAAAGCCCTTAAGGGACAGGGTTTGACACACACACACACACACGGTGCCGCTTTGCGGCGCTCGTGCGAACGACCTGAATAGGTACCTAAAAAGCCTTAGAAACAAAAGAAAGAAACACAGAAAGAGCAGCGCTAAGAGGGCAAGAGAGAAAGGTAGGAGTAGAAAAAAGTGAATACTTAGCCCTTGACTGGGGTAGGGAAACGAGCCTCAAGAGCAACCTAAAAAGCCTGAGAGAAAGGCCAACAAACGACGAAAAGCGCAAGAAGGAAAGGGAGGGGGCAGGGAGGGGGTGTATGTCCATGTGTGTGTGTGTCTGAATACTTAGCACTCTAGTTACTGATTACTTAGCAGAAACGAATTAAGTGCAACAGTTAGGGAGCGGGACTTTAGTCTTAAACCGCCCGGGTAGAGAAGACTAGAAAAGGGACAACAGAGGGAAAGGCACCGACACACAAGTGTGCCGAGTACCATTTCCCTCTGTTACCCTAATTAGGTAGGGAGTAGAACTCGGCGGGGAGGGGGGTTGGGAAACCACGCCTGGCCTCAAGTGGAAATGAATTCTGTTTTTAAGCCCGGTGGCTGTGGTGGCATGTCGTGTAAGCCCGACGGCTTTTTATGCAGTTAATCCAGTGGTGAAAAGAAGTCGGTTAAGAGAATCCAACGAGTGGTGGAAACGAAAAGGCTGGCGCCCCTGTCACGGGTATCACACCCAGCACCCAAGTGGGACGGCTGAGCGGTTCACACTTTGACATTGGTTTTCAGTTAGCTCAATTCCCAGGTCGAAAATGGTGAGGGAACGGCAAGGCGAAAAGGTCGGCGAGAACTGTATGGTTGAACAATGTTTGCAATCTGACACACAAGCGCGGCAAGTCAGCGGTGGGAAAAAAAAGGTTTGCGCGACGTAGCATGAACCACCATGGAATCAAAAAAGAAGGATTGGAACAGCGTACTCAACCGTTGAAGCAGGTACAGGTGGATGATCAGTCCACCCCTCCCTCGTCACACCGTAGCTTCATTGCGTACGGTGGGCATGACGAGCCGTACGCCCCTGCTTTGAAAACATGGAAAGCCCTTAGGGACAGGGTTTGACACACTCTGACATTGGTTTGCTGTTAACTCAATTCCCACATCGAGAAGGAAGGTGAGGGAAACGCAAGGTGAAAAGGTCAGCGCAACTGAAATGTTTAATCAGTTCACGAACGCGCAGCAGCTGAAGGCGGCGGAGGGAAATGGTTTGTGGGAGTATCATGAACCACCATGGAAACAACAGAAGGGAAATTGGACAGCGTAATCAACAGTGTCCTGGCAGGTACACAGATTGGCGTCCCAATCTGCTTCACGGGATGTCCACAGCTGTCTTCGTTGGCAGCAGAACTGTGGATTCCCTGCTGCCCCCTGCACTTGTGGTAGAAAAGCAAAGACAAGCGGAACCCTTAGGAACAGGGGTGACGCACACAGGTAGCCGAGGTCGGCGCAGGCGCATGAAAAGGTGGCATCGTCTGCTTTTTCCTTAAAAAACGCCGGCTTGCTGTTGGGTCATGTCCTTTTTGGACGTACAGCCGGATAAGCTCTTCAGCCGCTGCCGCTGCGGTGTTGGGTGGAAAGGTGTATGTGTATATTGCATGGAATCTGGAAGCTAAGCCGGAAAGAGCCAAGCACTGGCTAACGGCGGTGGTGGGATCCCTGATTTTCCAGGGTTGTGTGGGTTGGATGTAGGTGATGGTTCGTTGTGGTAGGTCAATGTTGAAGCCCAGGAGGTGAAAGTCGTCCACTGTTTACCGCTCTACTGGATCGCCAAAGAAGTTGTGGTGAATGAGAGTCTGTATAGCTGGGTGGGAGAGGAAGTGTTCGTTGTGCACGATGAAACGGTTGTCAACGTATCTGTAGTAAGTAAAGTGGAGGGCTGTGTGCTGGAGAAGGTTGTTGTGGAGCTGGTGCCAGGAGTGCTCAATGAGGGTGATTGCAACATTGCAAATGGCAGGAGAGAGTTGGGAGCCAATCCCAGCCCCTCGGATTTGTTTGTAGGTGTTGTTGCATGCCCGGAAAATGAGTGCAAAGGCGACATGTAGTGTCTGCCAACGTGGGAGTGATGGAAGGGGTTGCCGGTGGCTTTGGTGTCAACGGTCAGGGTGTGTGTAGTATGTTGGTGCTGCCATTGTTGAATCATAGAGTGGACTGCGTCAATGAGGCGGTGTTGGGGCACTGAGTTGAAGAAGCCCGCAAGGTCATCGTTGGTCGCGCGAAGAGGAATGTCTGCCGTTGTGTGGGTAAGGTAGCAATGGAGGTGGCGCCATAGTTGTGGGATGGACAGTTGGCCTGGATGTTGTGGCAAAAGGTGTTGCAAAATGATGTCGAGTGCTCGGCTGGTGATGCGTAAGAGGTTGCCACTCAGGGAGTGGAAATATGAGATAATGGTGCGTCCTTTCTGCCACTGCTTCTTGGCCTTGAGGTGAACAATGCTGTATGGGATTGTGAAATCCTTTCTGAATCCCCATTCGTATCGGGAGCGAAGGCTGGCCGGTATGGTGGCGGAGAGGTGGTCATGGATGTTTGATGAATTGAGATGTGGAAGGGGTTCAAAAAGTTCCGGAGCCTGCCATGTGTTGAGTGCGCCTGTGAAGTATTGACGTGGGCAGAAAATCCGGGGTTGTTGGAGTTTGTGATCAGCATGATGGAGTACGACGTTGTCGCCCAGGTATTCTTGGAGTTGACGGATGAGGCGAGCTGTAAAGCGCGGTTGTTGTTTGAGGTGTGTTGTGTGAAGTCTCCATTGGTGCTGAAGGAAAGGCCCCAAGTGTTGACTGAGCGAGGTCGGGAGCCCTTGCAACCGGAGCCATTTGGTGAAGGCGGTTTGGAATGTGAGAAAGTTTCTGGCTTTGCTGGGGAAGAAGGTGCTGTTCATATTGGCGTCTAGGAATATGCGGAGATGTGGTGGTAACGTCAATTGGTCCAAGGTGAGGATGTAGTGGTCGCTGGTGGTAGCTGTGGCGGGCTCGAGAAGAAGGTTTTTTAGGTGAGAGCAAGCGCACGGGAGGTCACTGGGGTCAGGAGGTGTGTGCAAGGTGGCTTCCCAAGCGCGATGGTTGTGAAGCTGTGCCCGGAGTGTTTTGTGGGCGGCTTCGCGTAGACGGTGTGTGGGGAGGTGAAGTGGAATGGCCAAATGCTTGTGTTGTTGGATAGTGGTTTGTAGCCATTGCTGGCAGTGCTTGGTGAACTGGTCATGTGCCAGGAATGGTACTGTAAGGGGAATGTTGGGCTTGGGATGTGTCAAATTTCTGTAGTGTAGTGCTTTGTTGATAATGTGGAGGGCTCGGCTGCGACCTGGCTCTTCAAGGTTGGAGGCCATACGTCTGATGGCTTACACTTCTAGGTCAGTATGACGGCCGCTGCGAAGTTTTTTGCTTGGTGAGATTGCGGAGAAGAGTTAAGGCTTGATGTTTTGTGGAGGTAAAAAGGTATGGTTCTCTGATCGTCTGCTGTCGTCTGCGGAGCTTGCGAAAGAGCCGCTTGTGAGTGGCTAAGCGAGAGTAGAAATGTGCTCGGTGCTTTGTGAATTGCCATCCCTCGGCCTTGAGATGTTGGGAGATAAAAGGCCAGTTGAGGGGTTGCATCCAGTTGGAGATGAAGTGGTGTTCTTTGATCCATGCTTGATCGTAGTTGTCGTGGGAAGAGAGCTGGATGGTGGTGAAGTGGTGAATATTGTCATGTGAATGCCAGTAGCGCAGGGATAGTTCAGCGGAGACTGGGATGTTGTTTTGAAGTCGTTTGAGCTTGGCTCGGCGATTGTGTTCTCGATGGGGTATGCCAATGGCAGTGGAGCCCACATAGTAGTGGCCATGTTGGTGGTAACAACGTTGTGGAGAGATGGTGTTGAAGTGGAGTTTGATGTAAACTGAGTTGGAGGAGAGGAAGTTGTGGTAGCGGTAAGTGTGAGGCAGAACCTGAAGGTGTCGCAAGCGTTGGCGCCATTGTTGGGATCGTTGTGTGGAAGAAGGATAGCAAAAGAGAAGGGTGATGTGAATGAGGCCGACAGCGAAGATGGCTTCAGCGCGTTCGATGTATTGGCTTTTGTGGATCAGTGTGGAGAGGGCGCGGTGCAAATGGTAGAGTTGTTGCAGAGAGAGAGAGAGAGAGTCAGCACGCAACGGCTGCCCCTGTACTGACAATGTGCTGTAAGCTTTTGATAGTCAGTTTCTTGACGCGGGCTAGTGGCAAACCATATCGGGTGGCAGCTTCTTTTAGTTGCTCAGTGGTTACTTTGCTCGTCTGCAAAATGCGCAGCACTTCCTTGGCGGATTCTTGAATAGCTGGATCGAAGATGCGCATCCATTGTTGGATTGCCGGGGCTGTCCACGATTCTGGGACATCGTCTTTTAAAGACGGATGCGGTGGTTGAAGGACATCGGACAGCTCATGTGGCTTGTGTGCAGCGGGTTCGGCTGGAGCAGCTGGTGCAC